AAGTACTGAGAGGTGGAAGGATGGGAGACTGACTGAGAAGTGGGAGGATGGGTGACTGACTGTGACAGACATCTTCAGTTCTCTCAACTGATGTTTTATGGGGGTTAAGTCCAAGCATATTAGATGCAAATTCTTGTCCCCATCCCCTGCACGCTCTCCGAAGATTTCTTTAAGGAGAAGTGTTTTGCTGCATTCATCTTAACTTCATCCCCGCTCCCCCCAAACAGTATGATAATAATTTCATAATAGGTATGGCATTAGCTAAGTCATGAGTGAAGAGGAATTACACATCTGGAACACTTATTTACAGTACAGCATCTCAGAAAAACAGATAATAACCTCCCATGACAGCCCCAGACTGTGAAAGCACTTACCACAAACACCAACTCTGGGATGTATATCTGCAATAACATCTCAATGCCAAATAACCCAAAACTGCAACTTATTCAATACAAAACTCTACATAGAGTACACTTTTAACAACATCAACTACTATCAGAATACATCTCAACAGAAAGACAAGTAAAACACAACCAAATAGATTAATTTTACAGTTACTGGACCCTGTTTATCAATAAGACTATAGCATAACACAAATCAGAATACGTACACACACTGCCACATCCTCATCCTCACCTCCGCCTACTGCCAGTGCAGTGCTCTCACCCCCAACCTAGTTCTTCAATTATAGAATAGACAGCCATGAAGCTCAGTCAGGACCCTCCACACTATATTAACTAATACCTTAATATAATTGCAATTGCAAACTACCTATTTACAAACAATGTGGTCCAAGTAGTAAATTGAGCATTATGGGCTGTGATCCCTGAACCAGGAGAGTGGCTCTAGCAGGTTCCAGGTACAACATCTGAAGTGTCTGGCCAGAAGAGTGCTGTCCTAAATCCCAATGTGGGGGTGAGGGTCACCAACACACTGGCACCATACTGTTCATATGTCATATGTAAAAATGGATCTCATGCAGATGGGGAAGCCTGTAATAGAACCGCCCACCCTCTGGTTAGAGGAAGACCACTCTACCCCCTCAGCCAGTCAATGACGTTTGACAACATCTGCTGTGCCTTTTTCATGCAGGTACTGCGGACGTTCAGTGCCTCCATCCATCACTAGTACTGACAGCCTGCTGACCCTTCTGTTTGTGACTGATTCAAGTCTAGCCACAGAGGGATTTTCTGCCAGCTATGTCTCCATCAATGCTACCACAGGTACACAATACAGGCCCGTGCACTCAGTAGAATTTATCAGCAGTAGTTCATAAGTGTATCTTGTGAGGTGTGTGACTTAATTTCAATGTATTTATGAAGGTTGATGGGCATGATCTTATTTTTGATAGCCATGATAAGGTGTTATACCACACTTTTGTTGATCCCTCAAATAATAATTAATTGATGTTTATGAAAAAAAGTGTTCATATTTACAGGTCTGAAATATACTAGTTTGTGCAATTTTCTGCAGATCCAAATAAAAATCCAGATCTAGTGAATTGAAATGTGGTTTCATTGTTGGGCATTGGTGGAGGAATGTGTTCTCTGAGTGTCCTACTTTTTTAACTTGCCTAGTGCTCACTAAAATAGATTTTAACACAAATTTAAAGATTTTTTTGAGAAATAAGCCTTTTTGTGTACAAAATAAATCTTAGATCTTTGACTTTAACTCATGAAGATAAAAGTGTTTATATTTTTGTTGAGTGTATACAACAGATCTTTGATTGCAGCCATGTGGTAAATTGGAATGTGGAACTTTTCAAACTGCCTCGGGCAACCAATTCAGGTTTAAAATCAGGCTTTATCCATTCAGTGTCACCCCAACTTGAACAGTAAACATTGAACATTGATAAAGGCATAGAACAAAATCTCAGATTTCTACCTGAAGACAACCTATGCATAAGCATGTGAACATTCATAAGAGATTTACATAAACAGTGATGACAAATTGCTCCATAAAGATATAAGTTGTGCTATGTTTGTGAGGAAGTTCCATTCACAAAAAAAAAGTAATCTGGTCTATGTTTCTGGTGAAGTTTAGGTAGTTTTCCACAGCACAACAATTGGAAGAACTTTCTTTCGAAATAAATTTGCTATGAAGTAATATAATATTTTTATCTGAACAAAATGAAAATGCACTTAATGATTAATTTTATTAATTTCTCTCGCATTAGATTGTGGTGAGACCTTCACCACAACTACAGGGTCCTTCAGTTCACCCAATTACCCTAACTACTACCCCAACAATAGAGACTGCATCTTCAAGATCACTGTGCAGGTCAACATGCAGATTTTGCTGAACTTCACCAACTTTGAGCTGGAGGGTTCATCTCCTTCTTGCAGCTTTGACTTTGTGGAGATCAGGTAAGGAAATAATTAAGGTGGGAGAGTTTGTCTGTAAATAGAGAAAAGAGGCCTCTTTTTCATGTGTTTTTTTCATCAGACAAAATCCTTAAGAGTACAGTGTGTAGAATTTTGTGGTATCTAGTGTTGAAGTTGCATGTTGCAGCTGAATACTCCTCACCTCACCCTCTCCTTCCAAACATGAAAAAGAACCTGTGGTAGCTTCAACTGTCATAAAAACTCAAAAGGTGTTTAGTTTGTCCAGTCTGGACTAATGTAAAAAACATGGCAGCCTCTGTAGAGACGACTCACTCTTTGTAAATATAAAGTATTTAAATATAAAGGGCCTTTTCTGGGGTAAAGAAAACTACAATTCATACAATCTAGATGAAACGAACTGGTGAAAACATCATGAGGATTATTTTACATTAAATTCCTGCCAATAGTTCCCTTTCAGTCTGAAGTTAAAGTTCACCAAGCAGAATGATATATAAGCAGCCTGTACAAGACTGGCATTCTTTATTCAATATTACGACTGACATTTGAAACTGTCCTTTGCAGGGATGGTGGTTATGAGACATCTCCCTTAATTGGTAAGTTCTGTGCCAGTCAGAGTCCTCCAGTGCTGGTATCCCATAGCAACCGCCTTTGGATTAGATTCCATTCCGATTCCACTATAACACGTGGTGGATTCATTGCCCACTGGGATGGCTCACAGACTGGTGAGTGATAATACTGTTGTCATGTTAGTCTTTACTCTTTTTGCCAGTTTAAGCTGAGGATGCAGTTTGCAGTTTATTAGAAATATATCAATTGCCAAATAATGTAAAGGCATGGAAGAGGCTGAAGTTAACTGAAAAGTATTGGGAGATATGACCTAGAAACATGCACGTTGCTGCAGAATAGACATAACAGACACAAGAGGGAAAAACTACTTGATGTTTTTCTCTTTGTATATTTAGCACAATGTCCT